CCCCCCCCCCGTGACACCGTGTAACGCTGGAAAAGACCCCCTCCCCCCTGTTTGGAACGTTACGTACTTTTTATGACTGTTTTGTCCAGTACTTTTGAGAATGGTGATCATAAGTGAACATAATTTTTCAAAATTCGCGAGAATAACCAGTAATGAATCCCAAAGAAGACTCGCAGCCTATGATTCTTCCATTTACAAGTAGCAGTGATCGTGATAAATAGCGATTTTATCGGTTGGTTATCGCGATTATGTCGGTGGCAATATATCGAGATACTATCGCATTAAAAATTGCGATATATATGGCGATTAAATCGCTACACATCGCAATTTTTGGTTCGATAAAATCGCGATCAATTTTCATCGATAAATTTGAGATTAAGCCGCCATTTATCGCGATTTTTATTTCGAAAATAATCTCCATCATGGATGGAGATGGTTTATTTTGCACAAAGCATCCACGAAATTTAGAGGCGTTGTCTCCCGCACGTTGCTTAGTAAAGCACAAAGTTAGAGTCACTTTTTGTGAGTTTGGTTACACGGCGGATCCATCCGAATTAAGCTGGTGAGGATAATTGTTTCAATTTTGGAGAGAAACTCCAACTTTCTTTTCCTGCTTAGAGACTCTATCCTGCAAAAAACGACTATGTTGGTGATTAGAGCATGGTAGCATGTGACCTCAACATGGTATCAACATTGGTATGAGAGTGAAATAATTATTCTGCCAACTTCAAATATTTGTGTTCTGCTTCCTTAGCGGATTTATTTCGATAATCAACATAGTGCCAACTTGGTCAAAGTGACCAACAGTAACCGACATTGAACACCAACGTGGGACAATGTTGAGACCAAAATGCATGGCTCGAACGTAACATTATCATAACATGATCTAAAACATAATCTCAACATGGTACCAACATGATCGTTTTGAGTTAGAGCAGTCTGGAAAGCAATTTAAATGGTTAGGGCAAAAATTTCGTTAGAGGATTTGACATCTTCTCAAGTTTAGCAACATTCGTATTTTGCCTGTTGATGATTGTCACGCTTAGCAGTTACCCATTTGAAAAACTTAGGCAAATAAACAGATTTCTCAATAATCGCGCAGTTTCAGTTGTTCCATGACTAACAAGCGACAACATCCTTGAGCAGAAAAATGACGATTCTTTAAAGTAACTTTTCATCCATGGCAGACTATCATTACTATTTAGCTATGATACTATGCTTTTAGTCGATGTAGTCCAGGGAATGAGTAGTTTCGGAGTTAGATCGTTCATCATTTAATTTAGATTAAGGTCAAGTATTTACAAGTGGACGTATTTCTGCCAAACGGATCTATTTGCACTAAGATATGATCCTTGAGACCCATAAGAATATATGCAGAACAGGGCTCATGTCATAATGTACATAGTTCCCTTTGGCAGAAATACGTCCAAGTGTAGGACGAGAGGGCGGTAGGCGCCAGAAATACGTGAATCGCACTTGCCTTGTCGATTGTCTAGGTACACGCGTTTTTCACTATCTCTCAGGTGTACATCTTACAACGTATTTTGACAGCCTCACACTCATGCTCTTGAATCTTAATCTTGGTTGAAAGTATCACAAACTTGCGTGAAAATGTGTAGAGCCCACTCCCAAATGAAGGCTACAGAGTCGAAAATTAAAATACTTAATTTTACAAGGAAATGCAAGTTTCACATATGAACTGGACATATCTGGGGGTTTAACATAAGGATTGCAGGAATTTCATATGCGATGGCAAGAAATATGAGTATGTACACTACGACGTCTAAAAATCTCCGATTTTGTTTCATTTTGTTCAAGAAAAACTAATCAAAAATATTCCGTGCAATTTTGTGTGATTTTTTCCAAGGAGAGACGAAAATTTACGGAAAATTCCAGTATGAGGGGTCGAATGCTGCCGTGCTGAGGAGGAACGCCGTATGAACATTCGAGAGTTGCAAAATTTCCTTTGATAAAATGTTCATTTTTGAGGGAAGTTACGAATATTTTTCCTTTCAATTTTCAGAATCTTCAGGTAAAATTGTGAACTAGATTATCTGGAAAAGTTGGAGGGAAAATATTCATAAATTTACCCGGAAATTCGCGTGAAATTTGGCGACGGCTGAAGGTTCATACGGCGTTTTTCCTTAGCATGGCAGAATGATTTTCCTTTAAAGTAATGAAACATGAGCGGAAGCTAATAACGTTGCGATCTGGAATACGCATTTTCCGACGTTGGCCATTACTTTACAATGAAATAAAAACTGCGCTAGCAAACCGCAGTAAAGCAATAATTGCAATCTTCTAGAATGTTGCAGTCGATGCACTATGTCTTCACTCTTCAAGCCTACGATCAGCCTCCTAAGAGAGTGGACATCACTGTCCACTCCTATTGTCCGGGGCTCACATCGGAACCCAAAATGTCTACTAACATCCCTGAGAATATTTAGTAAAATGCCACAAGATATTCATTTATATATTTTTTTCCTCGGCATGATACTTGCAATGCGTGCTTTTCTTTTAAAGAATATATTGATCATGTGACTACCAAATCACGTATACCTCTGAAACGTTTCAAATCTCTGGTCTTATTTAATTTTTTTAAGATGTCCTAATCATCGTTTCTGTGCAAATTTCGTTTTATTTTCCTTCGTCCTTCAGAGAATATTCTCTGGGTATTTCTCACAATAATATCAAGCCGTATTTTTTGAATCTATTGATATAAACGGTAATTTTCAATTACTGCCATGCTAAGGAGAAATGCCGTCTGAGTATTCGAGAGTTGCCATATTTCCTTCGATGAAATGTTTATTTTTGAGGAAAGCTACGAATATTTTTCCTCGAAATTTTCAGAAACTTTAGGTGAAACTGCGAGCAAAGTTATATAAAAAATTGGAGGAAAAATATTTAAAAATTTTCCCGAGAATTCGTGATTTACTCAAGAAAATTTGGCAACGCCTGGAGGTTCACACCGTCACACGGCGTTTTTCCTATTAGCACGGCAGATTAATTCAGGCTGTATCTGGGAGGAAACGAGGTTAGTGCAGCATATTTTTTGTTTGTTTGCTTGTTTTATATATTTTTCTACTAGGCATATGCGCACCTTTCTTGAAGCCGCGAAAGTTGATATTTTCACCCTCTTATGCGGACAATCAACGCATATTATGTGACGCAAAAGGATTTTTGAATCCTTTCACAATTCCAATTCCAATTCCAGTTTCACAAAGGCATTTTTACGATTCCACAGTACCTGCTCAAGGAGGTAGCGTCAATCACTAAGGTGTCAATTTGAAGAAAAAAGACGTGGTTCCCGGACATCTTGCCGAGAAAGTGAGTTCAAGCGGTTTTGACGTGTTGCGTCATACTTTAAATTAGAGCCATGGCAGCATTTGTATTGTCGTCACATATTTTCCTTGCGCTTTGCTTAAAATTTTATAGAATTCATTGTTATCATTCACTGAAGAGGTCTAAGCCGAGAATAATCAATATCAAAATTTTCTAGTGGGCGACGTTTCGACTAAAACATTAAATTGTAATTGTGTCGCAATCTTTTCAAAATCGTTAAAATAAAAATCTTCCTCATTCAAAAGTGTACTCAGTTTAATTAGGTACCAAGCATGAAATAAAACTCAAACATTAGTTGAACAGTAGAGAGAGATGATTTGTTTAGTTTTTCCCCCACTATTTGCCTCGACATATCCCTTTTTTGTGAGATCTTTGGTGCGGAAACATCTTTTAAATGTTCGTAGTCTTTTGCAAAAGATTCCCATTCAAGGCGTCTTGACGCGCAATGTTGGTTCATTCCTCGCCTAAAATCATATTATTATTATTATTATTATTATTATTATTTAGAATTCCGAGGTGTTGTACACGTATATTTTCTATGTGTTGTGGCTTCCTCTCTTGTCTGTTCCCTTACATATTAAGTTGAATAAACTTAAAAGGGGGTTTTTTAAATTCATTCCAGTAGCCCAGTGCCGCATTCAAAAATATCTAACAGTGATAGATCCAATAGTTTTCTCTCCTTGCCCTATCTTTAAATGTCAACCTACCTGCTAACAACAAAACGCTGCTGCAGTGAAGCATGCTTTAATAGACAGTGCTGAGATGAAAGCTCACTCACAGAATTACCAGAAATGCTCTGAAATATCAATGTGTTGTAGCTTGCATTTGCCTCTAGGGATTTCATCAATTATGGTGGGACTAGTATGATAATTTTAGCCCCTCCTCTCTTCCTCCTTCTCTGATCGACTTTTCTTTCCTCCAGTGTAATCCCAAAGTTAGAGGTAAAATAAGGTATAAGTTTAATTAGGTATAAAAAATTATCGGTACGCTTACCTGGTTTAATTTTCCTGGTGACAAACTGAATTCTCTTTCCAAAATGAAAGACTCTAGGGTGCCTTCTTCCGCCTATGTTGCCTCCTCTGTTATTTAGATGAAATGGAAAACTACTATATTCACCCACTTCAATTCATCATGGAGATAAACTTTTTTATGTAATCACGAACAATGTTGAATTGTTTTTGAAAACCCTAAACAGGTATAAATGAAGTAATTTTACTTTAAAGAATTGTTGTAATTGATTGCAATTAAAAATTATGAGATTTTTTCTATGTTTTTAATGCCAAATTTTGAGGCTAACGACTAATCAAGCCACCAGGCATTGGAGCAAGATTTTGCCGCTGCTTGTCACACAGCAAGCACTTGAAAATAAACTGAAAACAGAGCTCATCAACTTCCTATAACAGATTGGATCAATATTTACATTGGAGAAAATGTCAAAGGATATGGCAAAAGTGGAAATTGAGTCGACACCTCAATCTCAAGATAAGATAGTGATGGGGAGAGAGAAGTTATGGACCGGAGAGAAATGGCCACATTGAAATAGAATGAAAGACTGATCTGGAGAGAGAGAGAGGGAAAATAAGAGAGAGAGCGAAACTGGACATCCAAATGATTAAAATTATTAAAAGTAGTGGTGTGACACATCAATTGTTACGACCGGGTGAATAGACCGTTTTATTGCGACACCTTTTGACTCAGATACATGTCGTTTACACAAATGCGTAGGTGGCAAATCTGGATTAAGATAAAAAGATTTCCTCGAAATGTTGATCCATGGCTTCGACCCGATTTGAATTAATTTACAATCGCTTTCCCATCCTAAGTCATACAATTGCTTTTTAACAATACTGTCAGAGAAATACTAAATTGCCCAATTTCTTACCAGGGAAAAATTCCCGGCAAATCAGTCGGTATCATGACTGTTATTTTAATTACGCCTAGAGAGAGAAAAAATGCATCACCGGTAGGAGTGAATACGAAATGAAACTACATAAAAAATGACCTAAAATTCCTGTGAACAGAGAGAAAAGAGAGTCCCTCATCTCTTTTAAAAAGAACTTGAAAGATATTAAAAAAATAAGAAAGAAACAAACTGGGTCGGAAACCTGGGGTTGTTTTCATAAGTGCTTACTTTTACATGCCACACACCATGACTCTTATTAATTTGTTGGAATGGGCTTCTTTGAAAAAAATATCAAAACTCCCCGTGTTACGGATGGTTTCACGATAACTGGAATAGATTTGTCAGCGTAACAGACAACACATTTTTCAGTCATATTTTTAGTAGAAATGATAATCACTCGAATTTTTTCGCATTCATTAATCCTCAAAGGGTTACGTATTATAACGCTTTCTAATGGTTTATTACTCTACTCCTCAATTAATCTTATGTAAATTCCGAAAATGTGCTGTTTGTTACGCGGTAAAAAGTCAGCGTGACAGACTGACTGACAGCACATTTTCGGCCATTTATATATTAAAATTGAAAAATAGAGCGATAAATCTTTGAAAAGCGTTATAACACGTAACCCTGTATAGATCAATGCAAAAAAATTCGAGTGATTGTCATTAACACTAAAAATATGACCTAAAAATGTGTTGTCTGTTACGGCGGCAAAACTATTCCAGTTATCGTGAAACCACCCTCACAATCAACCTAAAACGCATCAGGCTCGTAAAAACATATAAATGAAACATTGATACGCTTATTATGCTCTGAAATATTTCATAACTCTTTCTTCTCAGGAGACTCTTTTAACCGAAGTCGCTAATTAGTTTGTTACCTTTGTCTTTAATTCACTTGTTGATGTTAATAATGTGAGACTTAAGTCTTTTGCATTGATAAAACCAATTTCTCGAAATTAAGAGCCAATTGGAATGTATTAAACAAAGAGGGATCAAGTTCTTAACGACGCACTGCACTGTCTCTCGGAACAGACAAGAATGAATGGGCTAAATATGTGACACAAATTGATAGTTTTAACATTATCTTTAAATTCGGTAACACTTATTTCCTCTCTCTATCACTTTAAATAACGGGACGCATTAATTGATTACAACTTCTTTGTTAATGAGGTTAAAGTCAAAGATTCTATTTACGGGAACAAATGAAGTGCTTTAACACAGAACTTGTCCTCTGTTATTAGTCCATTCAAGCGCCTTCAAATAATTTGGATACCATCCAAGATTCAAACCGCTAAGTACAGATCATATCTAGATTCTAGGTGCCTGTATGTAAGGAGCATAATGACACCAAAGTAAGAAAAAGCACAGTGCCTTTATTAGTGGCTGCCGGCGAAAATTGAATATTATGTGATGAATTTAATTAATTTAATGGACAAATATTGTTTTCTGGGTAGGTTTTATGATTAATTCTTGTTTGTCAAAGCAGTTGAAACGATAACTACCTGCATACCCTGGGAACAGTTTGTATGGGAGGTCACCAATTTGACCCCTCGCTTTTTGCGTCAAAATTAAAATTTAAAAAAAGAGAAGTGAAGGTGGGTGATAGAAGATCCGGAAATTTCAATTTTAACATGCCAGCACTTTGATTAGCAATTCGTCACCTTCCAGCAGCCCGACCACAGACTTTGACTTCCATCGATATTGATAGAACTCAGTTCCATTCCATTGGGGTATTACATTGGAATGGAACTGAGTTCTATCAATATCGATGGAAGTCAAAATCTGTGGTCGGGCTGCTGGCAAAGTATCACAAGCGCCATGCGACGTTTAAAAATTTCCGCCGCCATTTCATTTTTTTACAGAGAAATTGTTCAACGAAGCTGTCCGAAAATTTCACTGAATTTTCTTTGTGCTGCCGATAAAATTTAGTGAAATTTCCAAACAGATTCAACCAACAATTTTTCAGTAAAGAAATAAAATGGCGGCGGAAATTTTTAAACGTCGCATGGCGCTTGTGATACTTTGCCTGGAAGGTGACGAATTGTGAAAAGGCCTCTTCCATTGAGTCTGTTGAGAACTTTAACTAGAGCAAAAAGAAAATATGTCTCCTATCAAACTCGCTCAAAAATCACGTTGAACGCTGGTGCAGAGTTGAAATGCACTCCTTACTGCACAATTTGCAAAAAAAGTTCGCACAAATGTAACTTCTCGATCTCCTATTTCAAAAAGTACAGACGTCAAGAATGTAACTTGATCTGAGCAGGCACTTCCACTTTGATAACCCCACATGGGACTTAAAATTATGGCCGGCATCAATAAATTGTGATATTCCGACGCATTTCTAAGGCGCAATGATACAACTATTTGAACTCTCCGGAATGCGTGAGGTATCACGCCGCATTTGAAGGCGTTTTCAAAACAGCCAAGTTCCGATACCCGGATTATTGTTTTGCATAGTTCATATTCTTTTGTTTTATTCCGTACTACTTGTTTATTTTTAATCCTCGTATAAAAACCACCCATTTGCTAAATACAATTCTAGCTGGAGCGCACTTCAGCTATGCTTTCACCACTGCAAAAATGTCATAGGAGATCGACAAGTCCAGCGTGCATGAAGGCTATTTCAATTGAGGACACCGCACCAAGAAAAGCCTATAGGCGTATGGGTCGTTATTACGCCCATCTGCTTTTCGGATTCTACGTACCCTGGACTAAGCTGTGGTAGCGATAGAATATAGATAGGTAACGGCTCGATGTCGAAAAACCTTTTTTTTCCGAGTTAAGTCAGGCCTCTGGATCGATGGGTGCTAGAACGACCTATAAACAGGCCTATAAACTTAAGGGCCTATAAGGTGCTGGTTACTCCTTTCTTTACTCACTATCGATACTCTTTCACCTGGCCAGCGAAATCCGGAATTCGAAATATGAAAAACGGACCATAATGTCCGATTTTTTTACTTAGATCAACTCATGATATAATTTCAAGCACTTTTCATAGAATGACTTTTATCCATAATTTACACCATTTCCAAGAAAATCGATGATAAACGTCGCTGTACCGACCTACGTCATCAAAAAAATTCCAAGATGCCCGAAATGCAAACACCTCCTTTATTTCTCTATGAAGTTACAGTCTTATTTTAATTCACGATACGTGCGCATTCAAACTTTTATTGTCTGAGACAGTGATTCTGATACTTATTTTTACGGTCTCTCAGTAATAATGTCAATCAGTGCAAGCACTCGTCACCCAAATCACTGCGTGAAACACTTGACTCGCTCAAATAAGCTTATCGAAACCCGCGATACCTGCTCGTTTTATTATGGCAGAACATGTGCAATCTCGAGTTACAAGGAGACACTTGCTTTCGAGATCGAGAACCAAGGCAAGCAAGAGAACGCCAATGTCACTTTTCTCGTTGCTGAACGTCTACACTCGATATTATTTTAATAATTTAAAAGATACACACTCGTCTCAATGGTTATGTCTTCTTTTTTTTAAAAAAAAAAACGTATCTTTTTACATTCTGGTCAACTGACATTTTTTATGATACTTGCGAGATGGAGGTCCATTGAGCAGGAGCGTAGCTAGGAAATTTCTCTAGGGAGGGGGGGCATGGGACCACCTCTCGTGGTGAAGAGAGCGGGGGGGTGAGGAATGGAGGATCTCGTTTTTCTGGGGGGGCCACGAGATATCTGGGGGGTGGGGGGGGGGGGNGTTGGCCCCCCAGGACCCCCCTAGCTACGCCCATGCCATTGAGCATACTGCAAGAGGAGCAAAATTAATTTTTGCACGTGCCTTGGTGGTCTTGGTCTCCCACCAGTATGTGAACAAAGGCTCATCTAGAGATTTAATTGGATGCTCTACAATCTTATCTATTCAGAGATTTATTCTTCCGCACTTATTCTCAGTTAGGAAGAACCGGTACTATAGGCGTTTCTAGGTCATTTTGCTAAGGGGAGGGGGCTGGAAGGGTTGTCATGCGAGAGTCTAGAGGGGGCTTCTCTCGGGAAATTTTTTGAATTTTAAATCCATTTGGACGCATTATGAGATTCTCATGACGTAGATTTTCCATTAATTTCTGCGAAAGAGTCAATTACCTACTTAGCAAAGAGGAGGACTTTTATCCTTTTGTTTAAAATATTTGCTCATACAAAAATGCAAATTATCTACTTGATTCAAATCGCACGATGTGCGGTTATTGCTTTAAAAAAAGTTGTATGGTAAATGCCATAGAAAAATAATAATTAGGAGCACTCTAGATATAAATATTATGAATATAACGTACTATGATTTCAGTCGTAGTGAGTAAATATTTTAATTTTTGAAATACATTACAAACTGTTAATTATTTTTCAAGAAAACCAGCTTTCTGCAAGAGCACTTGATTAATTTCTCCATTCTTGTGTTATTTTGCAAAACCTTAACTTAATTGGTGAGTTGGATACGTTACAGAATCGTCTTCCCTTTTTATGGATCCAAA